CCCGCCTGGTGATCCATTCCTCAAAGGATCGACTCTTCCGGTGACTCGACGCTTGTCGTCACGTCCTTCAGCCTGACGTGTTTCAATGTTTCGTGGCGTTGCCGGCTGTTTGAGGACGCTCCCGGTGTTTGTTTAGTCCCAACAGAACCTGGAGGTGGTTCAGGCTGAGCTCCATGCAGGGCCGGCCCAAGCCTCCACGGGGCCCTGAGCAAAATTTGGTTTGGGGCCCCGTTTATTACTGTTAATAATGTGGATTACTGTAATCAACAGTCAGATGATCAGATCATTCACCACCTCACATAAACTCACTGCAGCTCTGACAGCCCTGTTCACATTATGTCATCATATATATATATATATATATATATATATATATATATATATATATATATATATATATATATCAACTAATGGTACTAAAAATAAAATAAATAAACACCAGTATTCAATGTATTTTACAGCAAAAGGGTCATGTGGTTTATTCTCTTTGGTTCCAAAGAACTGCAACAGTAATGTTCAAAATAATTTGTAGCAGAAGCTCAACAACAAACAACAATAACTTAGATGCATAAAAGTTAATTAAATTGTGCAAAAACAGACAAAACTAAATAAAATATAAAATTACGGAAATACTTAAATAATGTAAATGAACAATTACTTGAAACCACGTAAAATGTTAAAAAAAAGAAAAAGAAATTTAAAGTTGAATAATTAGTTCTTAAAACTATGTAAATATATGCAATAAAAGTTTAACTTAAAATATTAAACAACCGTTTCCCACGCGTTTGACCTGTTTGTTACTTCTTCTTCAACACTTCACAAGCTTCATAAAAACGAGTCCAGCTGCAGGACTGACTCAGATCTAATGACTCAAGATCCAGTGATGGGGCGCAGGAACCACCGTGTGACCTCTGTGTGACCTCCGTGAGGCCTAACGTACGGTTAGACACATCGTGGGCTGAAGCGAGGAAACACTGACGCTGCCGTTTGAACAGGAAGCCCCAGAAGTCTGAAAAATGCAGATTAATATTTTGTTTGAGTGATTTTCTCAGGGATGTTTCAAACAGAGGTCCCCGTGGAGACGCTGCCGCGCGGAATATCGATTTTTACAACGGCTTCGCCTTCAGGGGAACGGGGTGAGAGATTCATGTACGACGGGTCGGGAAGGAGAAAGGTCGCTCTGTTGACCTTGGAGCGCTCGCAGAGATCGATCGTTTCAGTTTGAAAGGCAGCGAGGACTGTTTGACTTCTGATCAAACACTTTCAGACCTGCTTTAAAACGAGAAGCACGGGGGCGAAGAGGCGGAGAAGAACCACCGATCAGAGACAGGAGGGGATCGACCTTGGCGTTAACGGGTCGGACTCAGCAGAGGCGATTAATCTAAAGGAACTCCTCCGGAGGGAAATCTAGTGGAACTCCTGTCGCAGCGACGTGGCCCTGGCTGAAACAAAGATGGTGGAAAACATGATGTCCCGTGGTCACCGCTGGACCAGCTGCAGCATCTCAGCTTTGGGCCTCTGGTCCAGATGGAGCTCTTTGACTTTGTAGTTTTGTTTCCACTCCACTGAAACATTTCATGGTTCCTGTTTCGTCCTGATCAGACTCTTTCTCTGGGATCAGCTCCACTTCCTGTTAAACGTTCGTCTCTTCGGGTTTTTCAAAGTGAAGCGCCACCGTCGTCCAGAAAAATCTGGGCTTACTCATGTTTTCTTCTATAAATGAAGCTCACACTATAAAAACAAGTGGAACATCCATCCATCATGCATCCATCCATCCTCTTGTTGTGAAGTCAGGTCCAGACATCTCTCCGCAGCCACCTCTTCTTGGAGTGGAACAAAGTATTTAGTTGAGGATGTTTTACATCGTATTATTCGCTGGTTTGCTTTTGCTGCAGTTTGTAAAAACAGATGTTTGGCATCAGTGCATCGTGCGAAAGACAAAATCTGCAGGAAAAATAAAGACGGTCTGTAAACAACAAAGGGATTTAGTTGCAGCGTGAGGAGACGTGTTGGGACCTTCTGTTGATCTTCAAAGTCATGGCGGGTCTCTGCGGCGCCCTCGGCTGCAGGAACAACCACCTGAGCAGAGATGGAGACGCAGGCGTCAACGCCAGGAAAACGATTCGATAATTCATCCCAGGAAGAGACGAGGCGTCCAGCAGAAATTAAAAATGTCCGCTCAGAAAATTAAACGCTTTTTGCTGGAGTGCGTAACGCTCCAAGTTCCTCCCCGGCAGCTCGGCGGCGACGGCGGTGATTAAACCGAGCTGTGATTTACAGCAGCTTAACAGATACAGGTTGCTCAGAAAACTCCCATCATCCTCTGGGGCAGAGCGGCGTGTTCAGGATTGATTAACCTCAGATCCTCAGGTTGAGCCTCCAGATCCAGCCGAGACTTTCAAACTGAATTAATTAAGAGTTTTGAGGCTTCGCAGGAAGGAAACGAGTCTAAAAACAGACCGTCTGCTCGCTCGACTGCAGGAACGCTCCGCTTACATCAGGGCTGTCCAGATGTTTCCATCAAGCTTTTAAAATGACCGGGTCAATTCAGTTTATTTATACAAGTCACAACAGAATCATCTCAGGGACTGAACAGAAACATTAGTTTGAACAGAAACATTCATCTATAAAATAATAATTTAACAGAAACATTCATCTATAAAATAATAATTGAACAGAAACATTCATCTATAAAATAATAATTGAACAGAAACATTC